GGGTCGATGCCCCCCGTTTTAGTGGTGAGGACCCTACCGGTTGGATTTTCCGAGTTCAAAAATATTTCGACTATTTTCTCACCCCGGAACCGGAACGTTGGCATTTGGTGGCTATGTTAATCGACCACCCGGCATCGGAATGGTTTCACTACTATCAGGCCAACAATCCTATGGCAACATGGCCGGAATTTTTGGATGCCGTACAACAGCGATTTGATCCTACATATTATGAGAATTATGTAGGACTCTTATCCAAACTGACACAAACGACGACAGTGCTGGCGTATCAATCTGAGTTCGAGACCATCCTCAATAAGGTCTTTGGTGTGCCCGAGTTGACGTTAATTGCGATGTATATCGCCGGTCTCAAGCAACCCATTCGGCGAGAGGTGAACCTGCGCAACCCTACTACGCTCCCCATTACTTTTGCTCTGGCAAGGGAGCTTTCGGCTTGTTATTTGGAGGCGGCAGGATCTGCAGGCAGAGAGTTTCATCGTCCATGGTCGTCGCGACCACCTGTCCCATCCTCGGCAGGTCTGCTCCCCACCCCGGCTTCCTCGACTCGCCCTCCCCCGGTGCTTCCCTCTGGGCACAACAGCGAACCCACACCAAGACTGCCAGTGGTACGTCTCACCAACGCCGAGAAAACCGAACGTACGAAGAAGGGTCTGTGTTGGTATTGTGACGAAAAATGGATCCCCGGTCACAATTGTAAACATCAGTTTTTGCTCTTAATGGGACCAGATGACGACGACGACGAGCAGGTGGACTGCCCGAATAACCCCAGCAGTGACGACCTCATTACGGCGGATATTTCTAGCATGCACGCCCTAGCAGGAAGCCCAAATCCGCGTGCTTTAAAGGTGGCAGGTACGGTGAATGGGTCGGCAGTTCAGGTGCTCCTGGACAGTGGGAGTACCCATAATTTCATCCACCCGGGAGTGGCGGAACGTCTTCAATTGGTCCTCCATCCAGTAACATCCTTTCGTGTATACGTCGGCAACGGTGATTTTCTCTGGTGCGCCTATGCTTGCCCCCAAACGGCTGTTTCGTTGCAAGGCCATGAATTCCTTATTGATTTATATCTTCTGGAGATTCATGGCACCGACATGGTTCTTGGGGTTCAATGGTTGCAGACGTTGGGCAAGGTGTCCCACGATTACGCCCAAATGACGATGGAATTTGTGTGGCAGGGCAAACCCATCACCTTACAGGGCGACACTATCCCTCCCCGGCCGATGTCTTATGGGCAATTCTGTACCATGGTGGCCTCGTCTACGTCGTGGGCTCTATATGAATTGATTGTTTC